AATAGTGAAAACAAGACTTGTTTGGTAAAAACCAAGTCTTCAAGGTCTTAAATCACGTGCGTACGGTTTTGACCGTTTTTCACGTATTAGACCGATTGACCAAGATACAAAAATGGTTTTTATAAAATAATTATTCGGGAACCTTTAAAATATGCTCAGAGATAAAAAACAGGGTTTAAGAACTTGAAAACCACGGAGTTGGTTCGGGTGCCAAAAACCGAACACCGAAGACCGAATACCGAACGCTGACTTAGGTGGTTTTGGTTCTGAGCAAGGACCATGGATTTTAACAAGAAAGAAATTTATCTAAAATGTTTATTTTGATGCATAAAAACATTTTATGATTTTGCAAAATGATTTTGACTCTTTGAGAACCGAGACTTGAATTGATTATCGGTTTTGATCACAAAAGACCGACTCGACTAAGTCTTCAATTCTTGATCTTGTCCTTGAGTCTTTTGGGTCTTGTTCCAAGCCATTCTTCACTCGAAAACTCTTCATATCCACGGCGGTTTGGCATTTATCAAAACCTGTCAGAAATGAACACGACTTTAGTTTAACGTGCAAAGTGTATTCCAACAATACGTTCCTGGTCGAATGATAGCTATAACCCTATATGGGCCTTCCCAGTTTTTTGCCAGCTTTCCTCCATCGCCGGGTCTACTTGCTTCTCTTATTCGTAAGACTTCATCCCCAACTTGGAAGTACCGCGGCCCAACCTTGTTATCATGGTACTTCTTCACAACTTGTTGGTATGTGCTCATTTTAACTTCCGCGGCTATTCTCCGCTCTTCGACCAAGTTGAGTTCGGCCAAGTGATCTTCCTCATTCTGCTAGGGTTGATAATTTGACTCCCGAAACGTGGGGAATTCAGCTTCGATGGGCAGCCTTGCTTCACACCCATAGGTTAGGGAGAATGGAGTTTCCCCATGAGCCCTCCTGGGTGTTACTCGGAATGCCCATACGATGTGTGGGAGCTCTTCCAGCCACTTGTTTCCTGCTTCTCCCAGCCGTTTCTTTAGACCATCCACAATTGTTCGGTTGGCGTTTTCGACTTGGCCATTCCCTTGGGGGTACGCTACCGAGGAGCGATTGTGTTTGATTCTGAAGCCCTCCAAGTATTCGGTGAACCTCGGATTTCGGAATTGTGGACCGTTGTCGGTGACGAGGTTCACGGGCGCTCCAAACCTCGTGATGATGTTCTTCCAAATGAATTTCCTACATTGTTGCGTGGTGATGTTGGCCAATGCTTCGGCCTCGATCCATTTGGTGAAGTAATCGATGGCTACGATTACGAACTTCTTCCCTCCTTGGGCGACTGGGAAGGCTCTAATGATATCAACCCCGAACCTAGCGAATGGGATGACGTTTGATACGGGGTGATAGTAGGCCGCCGGTCTACCAGGATACTTGTAGAATACTTGGCACATCCGGCATTTTTGAACGTACTTTTCACAATCCTGTAAAATTGTTGGCCAGTAATATCCCAACAAGATGATGCGTTGGGAAAGCGTACGGGACATTTGATGCGCCGCGCATACGCCTCCGTGAACCTCCTCTATGACTCGCTCAGCCTCCCGGTTGGTTAGACATCTCAAGAGTGGCCCCCCAAATGCCCTCTTATACAGCTTTCCATCAAGAATCTGGAATCGGGGTGCCCTGAGCTTCACTTTTCTTGCCCGGTCATCTTGTTCTGGCAAGCTCCCATCCATCAAATATTCCATCAGATCATACATCCAATGGTCGTCCGCCCCGACCAAGTTTGACCGGTCAAATTGGCTTCCGGCCGTTATAGCGGCGACTTCCAATTTTTTGATGCTTGCACGGTCAAGGATCTCTACCCAGGCAAGTTTTGAAACATGCTCGGGAGCATACTGCATTAATTTGGAGAGAAGGTCTGCATCCGTGTTTTCCGCCCGGGGAATTTAGGCGATCTTGAACTCTTCGAAGCCTCTCAACAGGGCATGTACAAGGTCCTTGTATTGTGCCATGCTTCCTTCCCTTGCTTCTATGTTACCGGTCACCTGCCCAACTATCAGGCTAGAGTCAGATTTGATACTGACCCGACTGATTTTCAGGGCTTGGGCAAGTCTGAGCCCTCCAGCCAGAGCTTCATATTCTGCCTCATTGTTCGTCAGCTTGAAGTTGAAGACGATTGCATGGTAGATCTTGAACCCTTCTGGGGTGGTGAACACGATACCACCCCCGTATCCTCTAGGACCGGATGCCCCGTCAACTGCCATCTCCAACCATTGCTCAGTGGGCTTGTTGACCGGTAAGTCTGGAGTTAGACCGGTCATTTCTACTAGGAAGTCAGCAAGGGCCTGTCCCTTGATTGCCGACCTTGGCCGGTACTCAATGTGGAATTGAGTTAACATCATCGCCCACTTCACCATCCTCCCGGAGGATGTTGAATTTCGCAACACTGCACCCAGCGGTTGGTCAGTCAAGACTTCTACCGGGTGAGCTTGGAAGTAGGATGTCAACTTTTTTGCGGAGATGAAAAGCGCATAGGCTGTCTTCTCCATTGTCGTATATCTACTCTCAGCCCCGTTTAGTGCTTTGCTCACATAATAAATGGGCTTTTGTGCCCCATCATCTCTTATTAAAACGGAGCTTACAGCATTTGGGGAAATTCCCAGGTACAGATACAGAGTTTCACCTAGTTCGGGTTTAGACAATACAATATCTGACGCTAGGTACTCTCTCAGCTCCTCGAATGCCCTCCGGCATTCTTCGTCCCATGCAAATGTGTTGGCCTTCTTCAAAACTTTGAAGAAGGGCAGGGATCTCTCGGCTGACCGGGAAAGGAACCGGCTGAGGGCCACTAAACGACCGGTCAACTTTTGAACATTCCTAACGGAGGTAGGGGCTTGCATTTCAGTGATGGCCCGGATTTTCTCTGGGTTGGGCTCTATCCCTCTCTTGGTCACCATGAATCCCAAGAACTTCCCTGTACGAACCGCGAAGACGCATTTCTTAGGATTCAGCCGGAGGTTGTACCTTGCCATGATATCGAACGTGGCTCGCATATCAGCCGGGTGGTTCAGAGATACCTAGCTTTTGATCAGCATGTCGTCGACGTATGCCTCCATGGTCTTTCCCAGTAATGGCTTGAAGAGTTTGTTCACCATGCGCTGGTAGGTTGCCCCCGAGTTCTTCAAGCCAAACTCCATTACCCGGTAGCAATAGGTTCCTTCGGGTGTGAGGAATGACGTCTTCTCTTCATCTTCTTTGGCCATGTAGATTTGGTGGTAACCCTTGAAGGCGTCCATGAAACTTAGGAGTTCGCACCCCGCAGTTTCGTCCACCATTTGATTTGGACTGGGAAGGGGGTATGAATCCATCGGACAAGCCTTGTTCAAGTCCGTATAATCCACACACATTCTCCACGTGTCGCCCTTGGGAGCAAGGACAACGTTGGCCAGCCAATCCGGGTACTTGACTTCCCGGATGTGACCAACACTGAGGAGGTCTTTCACTTCCTTCTTGACGAACTCTCACCGGTCACTGGCCAGGTACCGCTTCTTCTGTCGTACCGGTCGACTTCCCTCCCTCACGGCCAACTGGTGGCAGATAACAGAGCGATCTATTCCGGGCATATCCGCCACGCTCCATGCGAATATGCTCGCGTATTCTTGGAGGACCCGTGTAATCTGTTCCTTGAGATCCTCAGGGAGATTTGCTCCAATTCTGACCATCCTCGAAGAATCACCCGGGTGAAGTTCGATTTCCACCGTCTCGGCCTCGGGCTCCAATTTCTCCCGGGTCTCTCCCTTTGTGATCTCTTGGGAGATGACATTGACCCTCTTGGTCATCTTCTTGACTGCCCTGACATAGCACTCCCGGGCGTTCCTCTGGTCGCCCTTCACCTCACCCACACCACCTGGAGTGTGGAACTTCATGCATAGATGAGGCATGGAAATCACCGCCCCGACTCTATTTATGCCTGGCCTTCCAAGAATTGCGTTGTGGACGCATTTGATGTCCACAACTATGAACCGCATCTTCTTCCACACGGTCTTTTCACCTGATCCTAGTTCGACCGGTAGAACTATGGATCCTTCAGCTTCAACGGTGTCCCCCGTGAAGCCTGGGAGAGGGGTTTTGAGGGATTCAAGTTGTGTTCGACACAACCTGAGTTTTTGGAAGGTCTCCAGGTATAAGATGTTGACACTACTGCCGGTGTCAACAAGTACCCGGGCGACATCCATCCCATTAATGTCCATGGTGATGACCAATGGATCATTGTGATCTTCACCGGTAGGAGGGAGATCCCGGTCAGTAAAGACGATAAGCTCCCTCCTAATATGTTTACGCCTGGGCAGTTCAGCACTTACCTCTCCAACGTAAATGCTCCGGACCCAGTTCTTCCACTGCGCGGCTAAATCTCCACCCTCGGGTCCGCTGAAGATCATGCCGATGTGCTCTTTTTCGGGAGCAGGTTGCCGCTCCCTTGGCCGGTTATTCCTCCGCCGGTTGTTGTCCCGGTCATCCCCTGGGGCAGTCGGCCTAACCCATTGATGACTCTTCTCCTGGGCTTTCTGCAAGTAATCTTTGCCCAGCTCTCCACTGTCGATCATCTGCCGGATGACCCCCTTAACACTTTTGCATTTGAAGGTGTTATGGGAATCTGACCTGTGGTACGAACAATAGGTGCCCAACCACTGCCGCCCTATTTGACCGGTAGGGTTTTCTAGAGGAATGACCGGTGCTTTCCGGACTTCTTGGCATTCTTCCGTATTGACCACTCGGATGACCGGGTCATAGTGGTGCCTCGGCCGGCTAGGTCCCGGTGCTTCTTCCTTATTGACTTGCACCGGCTTGGGCTTGTGACCATGCTCAGCTTCTCTCTTTGCCCAGAGCTGGGTTTCAGCTTCAGCAAACTCCCATGCAGTATGGTAGGCCTCTTGGTACGTGGCTGGGGGTTTCCGGCAGAACTCCTTGTATAGTTCCCCAGCACGCAAGCCACTCAAGAGGAGGGAGAGGACGGTCTTGTCATCCATCTCTTCCACCTTGTCCACCTCTTCCTTCCACCGGGTAAGGATTGAGTAAGGTTCTCAGACTCCCTCTGCCCGGCTGTACTAAGATAAGTGAATTTCTTCCTCTTAGTACAATTCTCCTGAAACTTGGCCTTGAACTTTGAGGCCAAATCACTGAATGAATCAATGCTTCCCGGGCGAAGCTTATTGAACCATTCAGTGGCTCGGTTCCTCAAGGTCTGGAAGAAAAGAAGGCACTTTTCTTCGTCGGTGCAACCGTTTATGGTCGCACTCTGGTTGAAGGAGTCTAGATGGATTTCCGGATCCTCCTTCCCGGTGAATCTAGGGGCGTCGATCTTGACCTTTCGCGGGAAAGGTGTCAGATGGACCCTTGTGGTGAACGGGGACCCTGCCAGGGGTTTGTCCCGGTCATTCTTCTCCCCGACCTTCTTTTCCAGCCTTTCCAGCTTTGCCTCCATCTGCTGGACGCGATCATTTGGGATGGTTAACCGGTTCGCCACCTGTAACCTGGGCTGGCTTTCTGCCTCCTCTTCCTGGTGGGAGGCCCTCGTCCTCGCTGGCTCCTACCGGTTAGACCGGGAGCGCCGGGTGCGGGCAGGCTCGGCCTCCCGCACCTTTCCTAGCCGGGCGAATGCACTGACATGAGCAACGCTCTGCCCCAGCCTTTGCTTGGCTGACTTCCTCTGGCCTTCCTCCCTATCCCCCAGCCTTTTGAAGGCGGAGTTTCGGGAGGTCGCTGGCCGGATGTTTTTTCCTTTCTTCTTCTTATGGGCCCTCGGGATGTCCCACTCGCCGTCATCACTCTCAATCGAGACGCAATAACCATCAGGAGTGATCTGCGGATTCGTAGTTTGCAAGGGACGCGACGGCCCTGCGGCGTTAAGTGCGCCGGTCAAGTTGACATGGGCCATGGTGCTGACCAGCTGAGGCTGGAAAGGTGAAGGCTGGGGCATCGACGTCTGGAACGACGTCACCGTCATCGGAGCTTGTAGGGGCGTGGTTCCCGCGCCTGGAAGGGCGAATGGGAACATACCAGGGAGGAAAGGCATCCCCCCGTTCTGCTGGCACATGGCCATGACCTGGCCAAAGCCCTGGATGGCTTGTAGGTTGGCTGGGTCATTCATGAACTGAGCCATGCTTGGTGGGAACGCGACCCTCGGTCCAGCGGAAGGGACGGGGGTCGCGAAGGGACCGATCACGCTGGCCGTCGGGACAGAGCCCAGACCCAGAGGCAACACCGTGGCTGAAATGACCGGTATGGTAGCAGCCACAGGGATGCTGGCGCCCACATTGGTGGCTTGCACCTGTGCGGAAGTAGCGTTGATTTGTTGGCTGGAAAACATTTCGAGTGGGGTTTTGGTGGGTAGGTTTGTGTTTGGAAGAGAAGAAACCTTAACGGAGTCCCACGGTCGGCGCCAAAAATGATGGTGTAAATTACTTGACCGGTCAAACTATACTAGACCGGGTCTAGAATAGTTTGCTTGATTTGGCAAAGTAAGAAAGGTAAAAACACGCAGATTGACCGGTAGGACTTTAGGTGGAACACCTATAGCCCAATTTATATTATAACGGAGAATGCACAGGTGCTTTTACAAGGGAGTTTAGAGAGAATGAATTTGGATCCCTCTTTCTGAGGTTTACATGAGTATTTATACTAGGCTTAAGGGGACACGACCACGTGCGCCCACGTGGGGGCATGCTGCTAATGTGGTGCGAGATGACTGGTTTCGTCCTTGAGCTGCCTTGTCGCCTTGTGAGGGGGATTATTCCCTTTGTCGAGTAGTGCCTTGGATGGATTCTTCAGTGTAACGCCCCGAAACCTACCCTAGAATTATTAATGAATAATTATTCAATTAATCAAATTTGTTTTGATTAAAATAAATTGTTGTTGGACTTTGGGCCGAAATAAAACATATATTGATATCCAATATCACAATCTGGATAAATCTTATAGAGGTAAATCCAACATGTTGATTTATTGTGTGATTTTGATTGGGAACCTGAGTACAGACCCAAATTAAGAATAAATGAAGAAATTATTTATAATGTGAATTTTGAAATGATTTATTGAAATAAATCATGGGAATAAATAATATGAATTAAATGTAAGAATCTTTTTGAGTAAAGGTCAATTAAATCAATTTTGACTCTGTCAAAGTCAACCACCCAAAAATATGATGTCGGAAAAAGTATTACAAATAAATATAAAAATTATATCGTTAGATAGAGTTTAAATGCCCGATCGCAACGGTGCAAACGGAATTCAATTCAGAGAAAGTTGGACCAAAAAGTGTACCCCGACTGGAACCAAAATTTTGCCCCAATCAGGGACACAATTGACGATCAAGAATTGACTCAACTTCTCCACTACGCCGATCGTGAATCACAATTGACTCAACAACCTTTGTAATCTACTTCTCTTCTTCCCTATATAAGGAGAAGCAACCCTTCTCATTTCTTCACCATTCTTCATCATTCTTCTTCCTAAATGTTCATGAAAGTGTGAGGAGTATTGTGGTGCTGCCAATTTGGTGTGAGGTCGCCGGAGTTGAGAGTAATCATCGCCGGAAGTTTCGCCGGAAAATATCCAAAACCTTTGTTAAGCTTCGAGGTAAGCCCCTAGATATATCTAAGGACTAGAATGTTCATATAGGTCGTTTCTACGTTCATAAATGGTCATTTGGTTGAGTTTTGTGTTTGACATACTTGAAGAACTAAGAATCATAAACCATGAAATTGATGTTAAAATTATGAATTAATGATGCTAAAATGATCCATGAACCTTGGAGAACATTTTTATATACTTTAATTGAAGTTTGGTGAGTAAAAGTGACATTTCCGTAAGTTGGCTCGAGGTAGAAGACGATGGATAATCGATTATCAACTTGAAAAT